AATATGTCAATAAACTGCCTCGAAACGCACGCCGGCGCCCTCGCCGGGCAGCCCTGCTTCGACGAGCTAAACGGCATCCGATACATCAGGCGTGAGTACCACGCAACCTGTGATACGGGTGGTTCAGGGCAGGTAGTGGACGTTCCTTTCCTTCGTTTGGATCCTTCGTTTGGATTGAGATGCATTGAAAGAGAAAAATATGTCAATCAACTCGGTGGTTTCCGCAGAAGTAATGTTACGTTAGTGCATTCTGCCACCAAGTTCTCACTCTTAATCGCAGAATTATTAATAAATCTAATCTAAAAATATTGTGGCACTTCATAATTGTAATACAACGGGAGGGGAAAACACCTCTACTAATGCACCACGAATAATGATAAGAATGTTACTTAGGTAAATAATAATATTTTGTAAGATTTTTAATAAGGATTGTGTTCTTTATTAGTTTTACACTTTTTATGTTTTACATTTTATAGTTTTCAAGTTCTCTTTAATGTCCTGTGGAGACACTGATGATGGGGTAAAATACCTCGAAACGTGTCTGTAACTGACTAATAGTTAATAATTTTGTTTGTGGGAGATCATTTAATTTTCCTCCCTGGATATTTCAAAGGTGAATTTACGGCAACATACATATACAAGTAAACCTCGATATAGCGTCCCCGTATATACCGCCACCTTCAGTTATCGCCCATTACAAGCAATGAATAATTATTTTCCTTTGACTAACACGCGGTAGTTACCTCTATAAAGCCCTCACCTACCACTATTCACCATAGAATGCAGCGGTACGGAAAGTTCTGACAAAGTTAGAAGCGCTTTCTTCTCCAATCATTTAAACATGTGAAGAACTGCTAGTTGTACTGCTACCCCCCCTTCCGACCTTGCTGACTTTCCTAGGAGCTTCACCGGTTGTGAACTATGTGAGTGACCCGTCGCTCTCGGCAAGCTTGTGTTGGGAAGTGTAAAGAAGAAGTCATTTGAACCTGCTAGTTTGGTGAGAACGATGGGCAAGCGAAAGAGTTTAACTGAAAATGAGAAGTGTGAATTGTGTGTGCGTATTGGAAGAAAATCCTTCTCTTAATAAACTGTTTCAAATTCATTTTTCGTTATTGTGTGGAAAACCAATAAATAGAAGAAATGAGGTAGTATACGCGAAAAAGTACGTGTTGTAGGAAACATGTGTCTTCTCAGAAACTCGAAAGTGAAAAAGTAGAGAAACTAGAAGATGCTGTGGTAGTTTGAATATCGCAAATGAACGCTAAAACTCAAACTGCATTTCTCTAGAAAATAACTTCTTCATAGCGCTGCTCTACAAACTAGTCTCAGAAAGACTTCATTTTAATTCCAACCTTTTTATAGCGCCAATATAACGAACGTCGGTGTTATAACCAGGTGTGATTGTACTTGTTTTCAGTGTCAAACAATTAAATCAGTTTTTTGAATATAATTCTTCGCTTAAAATGGCTCCTACATTCTATTTATTAATTGTTCATCATTCTGGCAAAAAGTTTTGTTCGCGTTTCGTCTTCTCGTGCTCCGCCATTTTATTTTCCGTCGTGACCAAGACGGGACAACTCACTATCGCCTAGGACATCCTACCTAACCTTGCATGCTTCTACGAGTCCAATCCTTTGAAGACGGCAGAAGTTGTTTTGCAGACTGTGGGCCAATTAGCTGTACTCCTTTAAAAGTCGCTTGTTCTGTTATACCTCAAAATGCCATGTCAAGCATGCTTACAACAAATTTTAAAAAAAATGAAATATTCGTTTAAAAATAAATATATCATGTGTAGTTTTTGAATGGCAAATACCACAGATTTGTATTATCAGTGACAAAAATTATTTTCTTTTGTTAAAACGTAAATTAAATGTTTTGATTTCCTTATTCAGTAATGAGTTTTGTGCCCCTTTTAGTGTAGATGAAGTCATTAGATATCCTGTAAACTCTTATGAGCATGAGAAGACTATGGTATTGTTGGATCTCGTTATACGTACATCAATGATCTTAATGAAGTGGAGGTGTAGTTCTTGGTTTGATCAGACTTCAAATAGTAAAATTAGTTGGAGCTGAACGCCATGACTGTTCGACCACAGCAGTGAAACACAATCGTCGCGACAGGGTCAGGAATCCAGTTAAGCTTTGAGGATGTAGAAATTTGATATGCTTTTGGAACAAAGCCCTCTTTGTGAAGTGT